TTGGTGTCACCAGTGATGACATGTGTGGATTTGTTGGTGTTGGTGTCAGTGTCAATGCAGTTTCTAGGTCTGCTACATCATACTCGTCTTCTAGAGTTGTGCTCTCCATAATAGTCTTTTTGTTCTCACTAAAACTACACCAATCTCACTTCTTCTCTTCTTCAAATACGACATCTCCACTAACATGAATTTTTTCATCTTAAGGATCATATAGCTTGTGTGCCTTAGTCTCATCCTTCATACTAAAGTACACCATCTTTTGACTTCTATCATCAAGCTTCTTTATACGTGGTTTTGCAGTCTTGACATATGTTGTACCACCGAAAACTATAAGATGCTCAAAGTGAGGTTTCTTTTCGCAGGGGTGCAAGTTCCCAATGCCCTTGCCAAAAAAAAAGTTTAGATGACAAACCACATATTGTATTACCTCGCCCAAGAAAACCACCGGGACTTGCATACTTTTGAATAAAATTCTTACTATATTTATCACGCTGTGGTTTCTTTGCTCAACCACACCGTTTTGTTGTGGGGTATATGTTGCGGTGGGTAGATGCTCGATGTCTTCCTCTTTGCAATACATTAGGAAGTTTTGGGATAATAACATGCTTGTAACGCCCCTAATTTTCTTGCCTACATCAAAGACGTCATTACATGCATGTCTTTAATAACATGTGTAAAAATCTAAATAAAACATTTCAAACCAAGTCATTGACTTATATGTTTAATATAAAACCATAAATAAAAATAATAATATCATAAAAATTAAAACCTTAACATAATTTTTAGTACGAAAATAAAAAGCCATCTATGAAATTACTAATTGAAAACAATGCATACTACTGTCCTATCTTAGCTTCCATGGGCGTTCCAACATTCACCGTCATCCGTTCAAGGGCACTTTACCTTTACCTGAAAAATAAGAGTAGCATTATCTTTAATATTTTAGGAAATACTCAATAAGTTACCCCACTCTTGGGGATGGGTAATGCGAACGCACAAATGCATGATGGGACCTATACTTTAAAACAACATAGCATGACTTTGAGCTCGTTCCAGTCCAGGTAGGGATGTGTTGTACTTCTCCACACACGGCCCGCGCACGCACTCATTGGCCCACCGAACGGGCTCATAATGTACCCCCTAGGCCTTGCTTCGTCAAGCTAAATGCGTTGATGCGTCTCCAGAAACCACGGAGGGAAAGTCCTACATGATATCGTGGCGAACATAAATATCAAAGGTACATGTCCGTACTAACGTAACATAAGGGAGAAATATCCCGATGCACATTACATATATAAATGCATGAGGTCCCCATGATTTAAAATCATAGCATAAAATAAAAATCATTTTGTTTTTCCTTTCATTCATATCATAATGTGCATATGAGTCATGCATGCATAGCAATCATCATAACTTTCATCTTATATCATCATATAATATACAGCTCCACATGGCAAGGCATAGCATTACATACATAATATTTCATTTCATTTATAGCATGGCATAATAGGACATCACATACATACATAGTATAGCATCATATGTGTCATCACATAGCATATATAAGCACCGCATAACATTATGACGCATGCAGGGGCCATGTGGAATGTGTCATCATACATCATACAATTCTTCCAACACCCATAGTAAAACCATTTACTTGTTTGGCCAACCCGAGTCTCTAACTATTTTATAGCGACTCTAAGGCTGTCATTCAACGTTCAACTTAAGTTATAAATACTCATATCACATACTTAGGACATATTATTAAACTTAATTTAGCTAAATATATTGAATATTGAGTTGACCTCAAATGCCCAATTTTAGCTCAAAATATTTGATTTGAGTAATAGGAGTTTTATTACCTCAGATGCCCTAAAAAATAGCTTATAGAGGGTCGAAAATGTAGAAAATGGTAACAAAATTGAATATTGAGCTGAATAAGCCATTTTTCAAGGCATCGGAGCCAAGTAAGTTGAGTCGAGCTGTATGAAGTCAAAGGTTAGGCACACGCACAGGTCACGTGAAGCAAACGATTCGGGTCAGGAACGTCATGCGGGCTAAAGCGTGTAGGTTAGGCCATCACACGGGCTGAGGACGAACGTATGAGGGCTTGGGACGTGGGTCGTGCACGACAATGCATTTCTGAGCTATTGGATCCTACACCGGTCTGTGTTTTTGGTATGTTATGAAAGTGTGTTAAATGTGATACATTAGATTATGAAATGACATAAAAGGATTGTTACATATGAAATGTATATCTCATCATAAATACATGCTATGGTTTTAAACTATGTAGACCTCATGCGTATTATATGTTCACGTGCATCGAGATGCTTCCCTGTTATGACTAGTACGGACGAACACACTATGATGCTATGATACGTATTATGTATACCATGATACTATGTGTGCTCCCTTCTCTATGTGGTATACTGGCAGCATGAGTGTACACTAGTCAAACGCCAGGTCTAAGGAGTACATATACGAGCTCACCTGGGGTCCTTATGTGCGTGCGTGGACCGTTGTAGAGAAGTACTGAACATCCAATTTTATCTGGAATGGAAATTGAGACCAAAACCATATAATAATGTTTTTTGAAATAATAGGTCTAAAACATGATTGTTTGGTTGAACTAATCCATCTGATTTGCGACCATGTCTTAGTTCTTAAGTAATCACTTCATTCATCCCTTAATCCACTAAATTACATAATTAATTAAAATAAATATTTTTTAAAAAATTATGAAGAAATAATAATATAAAAATAATAAATAAATTGATGTGATTGAGATGAGGCCGCGTGGTTGCTTCTGCTTGCTCTTATAATTACCCTCTCGCGGTGCCCCCCCCCCCCCCCCNCCCCCCTCTCTCTCTCTCTCTCTCTCTCTCTCTCTCAAGCTTCCTCCATTACCACCGCTTCGGAAGCTCTAACCAAATCTCATTTTCACCTCTCTACGACTGTTTTTTTGGTTGATCTGATTTGCAGATTGTTTAATCTCGGATCGTCTGTGTGCTTATTCTCGTATATTTCTGTGATTGAGTTCTTAAGATGGATGTGATTCTCTCTAAACTGGAAGAGCTGAGGAATTCCGATTCCATGGAGGAGCGACCGTGTAAACGCCGAAAAATCGAATCGGAGAATCGAATGGCGGATTTTCATGGCGCCGAATCCACGGATTTGAGAACACGGTGGAGAACAGAGTCGGAGCAGTATATTTACTCTTCAAAACTAGTTCAGGCTCTCCATCGAATCAGCCAGAAATCCGCATCACCGCTGGCGAGATCTTCAATTAGCGGCCGGAAAGTACGCGATACGGCGGATCGAGTTCTCGCCGTTGCCGCTAAAGGCAAGACGCGGTGGAGCAGAGCGATCTTGTCAAATCGACTGGATCTCAAACTCAAGAAGCAAAAGAAGGTGAAACCGGCCGGAAACTGCAGGTGGACGAAGAAATTGGAAGTATCGAAGACGAGGAAATTGCCGGCGGTACAGCGAAAAGTTCGAACTCTCAGCCGCCTGGTTCCCGGCTGCCGGAAAATCTCATTCCCGAACCTCCTTGAAGAAGCTACAGATTACATCGCCGCTCTACAGATGCAGGTCCGCGCCATGACAGCCGTTGCCGAGATTCTCGGCGGTGCTCCGGCCGATCGTCAAAGCTTCAGAACGAATTCGTAGAAGCCAGATCCAAGGCTTGGAATGCCAGGTGTTTTTTTTTTTTTTTTTTTTTTTTTTTTTTTTTTTGTTATGAAATATTTTATTGTACACATTTTAATCTCTGTGTTTTTTGTTTTGAATTTGTTGATTGAAAAGTGGTACCTAATTTTGATTCTCTTAATATAATAAGAGAAGAAAAATGGTCACCATGAAATTAGTGAATTAGAGTTTATTTTATTTCTCTTCCGTTTCTATTCAAAATTGTTCATACTTTATAGTGAAAAATTGAAACAACAATTTGAAAGTGTTTTTAGAATATGTAAGATTTAATCGTTGATAAGATCAAGATGAAGCATGAATTTGGAGTATTAAATATAGGGAAGCCAAATTCCTTCTCTCTTATCTTACTCTTTTAATGCCCCAACTTACTCTTACTAAATTCTTCTATGAATATTATTCATTTAACCCTTTGATTCAATTCAAGTTTAGGAGGCTTAAATTTTATTTATATTTTCTATTTTAAATTGATTAATTCAACTCTATAAATCTTTTAAAAAATATGAATTATCAGTTAATTTTAAGGGGGAAAACAGAGATAAAATAGAGAAGATGATAGTAAAAAGTTTGATGAGAAAAGGACGGATGAAAATCATTTATGGATGAGCTCTTATTTATTTATTTGTTGTTTTTTTTTTTTTAATTAAATTCTCTCACACACGTGCGCATCGTACCATCATTATCATCTTCTCATTCTCTGTTTCCTAAACCCTAAACCCTAAATATACTTTCCTTTCATTTTTCACTTTCAACTTTTATGTTATAGCTTTGGTAGTCTTCAAATTTTATTGTTTAATAACTTAATTTAATCTCTCCCCTTTTAAAATCTAAAAGAGGTGTCATTAGCATTGATTCAAATAACTTAATTTAATCTCTCCACTTTCAACTATTTGATATGCTTTCAACTATTTGATATGCTTTTCAATCCATTAGGTGTCACCTCATGAATGAATATAGGTTAGATATTTGAGTGCTCATTCAGGTTAGAGGGGAGTTTGCTAGATATGCATTATCAAATAGTACCTTTTGATGAGAGATATGAACAAGAGGCTTTTCTGAATTAAATGAAGCCAATAAGCAAACAGCGAGTCCATAGGTATTTGAACCCGAGTACCCGGGAAAAAGCAAAATATTTGATAGAAGAATGAGAAATCCTTTTGAACAACGTCCCAACTTAATCACCATCAAATCTGCATATGTAAGTAAGGAGGAGGAATAGAGCACATATTATATAAGAATAGAAAGAATTAAAAAAAGCAGTAAAATGAAGAAACAGGGTAAACCAAAAAAGTATCCTCAAAAGTTATACAAACTGAGGTCCAGGGATCAGCCAAATCATTCAATTCACCTCATGAACCCATTGTTAAAACCATCAGGCCTTCACCAAATCAGCTCGGGGCCTCCATAGTCCAAGCCTGTACTTATGTGTGTACTTCAATATCAGCTTCCTCTGCCCACATACCACAAGAATGGAAGCATTTTGATAATTGCATACAAAGCCTATGGCTATCATTTGAGCTGTTTTGGCGGTGAAACATGTCTATGTCTTGCTAATCCATATCATTCAAATAATAAGAATAATTGCATACAAAGCCTATGGCTATCATTTGAGCTGTTTTGGCGGTGAAACATGTCTATGTCTTGCTAATCCATATCATTCAAATAATAAGAATAATGTTGAGTTGAGTAAATACTTACATGTTTGCATGGAATTCCAAGTTTTTTGAGCTTAAGTGTGCGAGTAACAAGCAGCTTCTGGAAGTCGCCAATCTCTGATTCAAGTTTAGGCACATGTGACTCAACCCCATGCCCAACACCATTTAAAAACTCTGGTATTCCCACCTTTACTACAACGCAAATGACAACAAATCAAGCACATGTACATCTCTTATCTTATTGATCACACACTCACAAGGAAATAATATTAGCAAACCAATGATGGATGACATACGAAGATATCAATACCATGAACACTTCCTTTACTACGCAATCATGCTCAATTCATTCAATAAAGAGATGACAAATAAAGTATAAGGCTCAATTCCTGGGTCAGACGAGAATAAGTTTTTAAAGAAAATAAGAGTGAAGAAAACACTTACCGACATATGGGGTAGATTTAGAAAAGAATCTAGCATATAAAGGAGCTGAGTATGGTTGCAGTATAATCTGCCTCCATGCCATTCTTCTTGCTGTGGACAACAAACAAACCCATCAGTTTCAAATCAGATGCAATTTTTCTAGGAAGGAACGTCTTTAAATTTTTAAGTTTAAGCCATGCATGTTTAAGTATGAACTAATTCATATAGTGAAACTGCAAATGGCTCATTAAATCTATAACGACCAAGATCCATCACTAGCAGATATTATCCTCTTTGGGCTTTTCCTTTCGGGCTTTCCCTCAAGGCTTTAAAACGCGTATGCTAGGTGAAGGTTTCCACACCCTTATAAAGGGTGTTTTGTTCTCCTCCCCAACCAATGTGGGACATCACAAAATCAGGTATATGGTATTTGCTACTCGGATAACCATAGTAAATCTAGAGCTAATACGTGAAACAAACTCCCGACTTTTGGAAGGGATGATTTTATTAGATAAAAAGTCGACACAAGCTCTGCCCGTTACTTTGATGATTCATGATGTCTTAAGAAGAATTGCCAAAAAAGAATGTAGACAGAGAATACCATCTAAAAGCTTTACATTTCATGACCTTAAAATGATCCGACCAAGCTGAAGATTTGACATCAAAGATCCTTTGATATCTTCTTTCCATACAAATATTGGATAGAATGGCCATGGAAGCATTGAATTGATCCATTGCATTCATGGAAATAACAAGATCACCCAAGGACTTTTAAAACTTCCAATATTTTGAATGGAAATCTAGTTCTAACTGATAAGGATTCCAATTAATTCTATACTTCAAAAAATAAAAACTCCACCAAATCTCTTTTAATAAAACAAAATACTCTTCCTACCCTGCCAACACCTAACTCACTTCAAATTCAAACTAATACCACAAAACACAGAACTGTTCAAGCCCTAAAGAATATCAGAAGTTGTCCCTGAAGCCAATCTTTCATTTTCTGTTTGGACTCCTAGATTTGGGAGGAACGAGAAATCATCTACCTCCAGTATGATTTAAAAACTGTTTCGAACCAAAAATAAAAATTTAAAATCAGTCCAGGATATGAACAGGTCAAATTTTGGAGGATTACGAACTCACAATCGAAGTCTTTACAAATGTAGGCTATTTGGAAGTCGATTGAATCAGAAAAAAAAGAAAAAAAAAAAAAACAAGAAAGAAAAGAAAGAACAGACCTGAACGGGAGCGGAG